CTTCCCTGGCAAACAAAACACACAATAGTATATCCACACTCTCTTCCATACTACAGATCCCAGCATCCCCTAGAACAGGCCCTTTAGGAGAGGATGATGATCCAAATGCACTGATTCCTAGATGCAAGCTTGCTTCTTGGATTTCTTTGAGAGCATCCCAATCCTTGCATATTTCCAATTTCCTATTCCTGGACTGCAACTCCCAGCAATCCTCCAGATAGATAGGAAGGTTCTCAACCTTCCTAATGCCATGACCCCTTAATATAGTTCCTCATATTGTGGTGACCCCCAACCGTAACATTATTTTTGTTGCTACTTCATAACTGTGATTTTGCTACTGTTATGAATTGGACTGTGAGAAGATCCAACCAGTCCATCCTCCAGGAAATAAAGCCCGACTGCTCACTGGAGGGAAAGATACTAGAGACAAAGTTGAAGTCCTTTGGCCACATCATGAGGAGACAGCAAAGCCTAGAGAAGACAATTATGCTGGGGAAAGTGGAAGGCAAAAGGAAGAGGGGCCGACCAAGGGCAAGATGGATGGATGGCATCCTTGAAGTGACTGGACTGACCTTGAGAGAGCTGGGGGTGGTAACGGCCGACAGGGAGCTCTGGTGTAGGCTGGTCCATGAGGTCACGAAGAGTCGGAGACGACTGAACGAATGAACAACATGAATCGTAATGTAAATATCACATATGCAGGATGTATTTTATTCACTAGACCAAATTTGGCACAAATACCTGAAACACCGAAATGTGAATACTGGTGGGGTGGAGGCTTGATTTTGTCATTTGGGAGTTGTAGTTGCTGGGATTTATAGTTTACCTAGAATCAAGGAGCATTCTGAATTCCACCAACGATGGCATTGAACCAAACTTGGCACACAGAACTCCCATGACCAACAGAAAATACTGGAAGGGTTTGGTGGACGTTGACCTTGAGTTTTGGAGTTGTAGTTCACCTACACCCAGAGAGCACTGGAGACTCAAACAATGATGGATCTGGACCAAACTCGGCACAAATACTCAATATGCCTAAATGTGAACCCTGGTGGAGTTTGTGGAAAATAGATTTTGACATTTGGGAGTTTTAGTTGCTGGGATTTATAGTTCACCTACAATCAAAGAGCGTTCTGAACCCCACCAACGACAGAATTGGGCCAAACCTCCCACAGAGAACCCCCATGACCAACAAAATACTGTGTTTTCCTGGTGGTCTTTGGTGACCCCTCTGACGCCCCCTCGCAACCCACCCAGGGGTCCTGACCCCCAGGTTGAGAAACGCTGGATTAGATAGAGATAAGTAGGTAGGTAGATCAGGAGGACTGCTGGGAGTTGCAGTCCAGGAATAGGTAGAAAAGGAAGAAAGGGGAGAAAAGGGAAGGGAAAGATAAGGGAGGGAAAGGAAGGGAAGAGGAAGAGAAGGAAGGAAGGAGAGAAAGAAAGAATAAAAGGGAAGGAGGGAAGGTTGGCCACAGCAACGTGTGGCGGGTACAACTAGTAACTTTATATTTTGCAAGTGTATTCAGTATTATTACATTCTGTGGTTTTTTTTTACATTTGTATTTTTTGTGTCTCAGTTTTGGGAGAAAGAAATGATATAAATCAAGCCCAATCAAATAAAAAATAAATAAATCAGAACATGTGATTGTTAGCCCACAAAAAGCCATTTTTGTTTTACAAAATCTGTTAAATAAACGTAGAAATAATGAGAGAGCCTGCAGGTTAATGGGAGTAAACAAGGCTGGGAAATCTGATACAAGACGTACCTCCGTTCCACTCCCACGACTCATAATCCATTATGAAAAAGATGCCAAACTTGATAGAAGGATGAATGCGTAGATGAATATAACATGTCTGATTTCACTGGGGTTATTCCTGTTCTTCAACTGAAGGACCGCAAGCACTCGAGGAAAATCAACATTAAATTCTGACTAGAAGTTGGGGTTTTGGGAAGCCTTAGGAAATGTTGATTTCAAAGTGCACTTTCTAGTTGCTTACCCCTGAAGTTATATAATGACGACTAATCTTGTATATATTTTAGATTGTTTGAGTCCACAGTGCTCTCTGGATGTAGGTGAACTACAACTCCCAGACTCAAGGTCAATGCCCACCAAACCCTTCCAGTATTTTCCGTTTGTCATGGGATTTCTGTGTGCCAAGTTTGGTTCAATTCCATCATTGCTGAAGTTCAGAATGCTCTAGGGGAACTATAAATCCCAGCAACTACAACTCCCAAATGTCATGGTCTATTTTCCCCAAACTCCAACAGTGTTCACATTTGGGCATATTGAGGATTCATTCCAAGTTTGGTCCATATCCATCATTGTTTGAGTACAGAGTGCTCTCAGGATGTAGGTGAACTACAACTCCAAAACTCAAGGTCAACGCCTATCAAACCCTTCCAGTAGGAATTCTGTGCGCCACGACTGGTTCAATTCTGTCATTGGTGGAGTTCAGAATGCTCTTTGATTGTAGGTTAACTATAAATCCCAGCAACTACAAATCCCAAATGACAAAATCAATTTTTTGAGTGAAGGACGTATGTTGGGTTGTTAGGTGTCTTGTGTCCAAATTTGGTGTCAATTCATCCAGTGGTTTTTGAGTTCTGTTAATCCCACAAATGAACATTACATTTTTATTTATATAGATTATTATTATTATTATTATTATTGTATATTATATTTATTTACATCCCACTTTTATCTCTCCAATGAATCACAAGGGATTCACAACAGTGGAACTCTCTGCCCCAGAGTGTGGTGGACGCTCCTTAAGCAGAGGCTGGATGGCCATCTGTCAGGAGTGCTTTGAATGAGATTTTCCTGCTTCTTGGCCAAATGGGGTTGGACTGAATGGCCCACCAGGTCTCTTCCAATTCTATGATTCTAACTGACTGTGAGAGCTGTTCAGCAGTGGAACTCTCTGCCCCGGAGTGTGGTGGAGGCTTCTTCTTAGGAGGCTTCTTCTTAGGAGGCTTTTAAACAGAGGCTGGACGGTCATCTGTCAGGGGTGCTTTGAATGTGATTTTCCTGCTTCTTGGCCGAATGAGGTTGGACTGGATGGCCCACGAGATGTCTTCCAACCCTATGATTCTAACTTCTTGACTGTGAGAGCTGTTCAACAGTGGAACTGTGCCCCAGAGTGTGGTGGATGCTCCTTAAGCAGAGGCTGGATGGCCATCTGTCGGGGGTGCTTTGAATGCAATTTTCCTGCTTCTTGCCAGAATGGGGTTGGACTGGATGGCCGACGACGTCTCTTCCAACCCTATGATCCTAACTTCTTGACTGTGAGAGATGTTCAGCTGTGGAACTCTCTGCCCCGGAGTGTGGTGGACGCTCCTTAAGCAGAGGCTGGATGACCATCTGTCAGGGGTGATTTGAATGCAATTTTCCTTCTTCTTGGCAGAATGGGGTTGGAATGGATGGCCGCCATCTCTTCCAACCCTATGATTCTAACTTCTTGACTGTGAGAGCTGTTCAGCAGTGGAACTCTCCGCCCTAGAGTGTGCTGGAGGCTCCTTCTTTGGATGGTTTTAAACAGACTGGATGGCCATCTGTCGGGGGTGCTTTGAATGAGATTTTCCTGCTTCTTGGTAGAATGGGGTTGAACTGGATGGGCCACGAAGTCTTTTCCAACTGGAGCAATGGCTTCAAACTATAAGAAAGGAGATTCCACCTGAACATTTGGAAGAACTTTCTGATTGTGAGAATTGTTCAGCTGTGGAACTCTCTGCCCTGGAGTGTGGTGGAGGCTCCTTCTTTGGAGGGTTTTAAGCAGAGGCTGGATGGCCATCTGTCAGGAGTGCTTTGAATGCGATTTTCCTGCTTCTTGGCCAAATGGGATTGGACTGGATGGCCCACCAGGTCTCTTACAATTCTATGATTCTAACTGACTGTGAGAGCTGTTCAGCAGTGGAACTCTCTGCCTCAGAGTGTGGTGGAGGCTCCTTCTTTGGAGGCTGTTAAGCAGAGGCTGCATGGCCATCTGTCAGGGGTGATTTGAATGCGATTTTCTTGCTTCTTGGCCAAATGGAGTTGGAGTGGATGGCCCACCAGGTCTCTTCCAATTCTGATTCTAACTGACTGTGAGAACTGTTCAGCAGTGGAACTCTCTGCCTCAGAGTGTGGTGGAGGCTCCTTCTTTGGAGGCTGTTAAGCAGAGGCTGGATGGCCATCTGTCAGGGGGGATTTGAATGCGATTTTCCTGCTTCTTGGCCAAATGGAGTTGGACTGGATGGCCCACCAGGTCTCTTCCAATTCTATGATTCTGAGTGTGAGAGCTGTTCAGCAGTGGAACTCTCTGCCTCAGAGTGTGGTGGAGGCTCCTTCTTTGGCGAGGCTGTTAAGCAAAGGCTGGATGGCCATCTGTCAGGGGGGATTTGAATGCGATTTTCCTTCTTCTTGGCTGAATGGAGCTGGACTGGATGGCCTCTTCCCTGAGGTCTCTTCCAACTCTAGGATTCTTTAAAGGAAGGCCTGCTTTAATATTTCCTTTTAATTGGTAGGAATTCTGGGAGTTGGAGGCCTTTTGAGGCCTGAGGAGGCGCCAAAATGGCGTCCTTGTGTTTTGGACTTCATCTCCCAGCAGCCCTAGTGCTGGAACGGGGCGGCTGAGGGTCATGGGAGTTGTAGGCGGAATAAGGAGGAGGAGGAGGCGGGGCAGAAGGGGGCGTGTCAGTCTCCTCGCTCTTCCTCCCAGAAGGCAGCGCGGCGCCTGGCTGGGCCTAGAAGGAGGAGGACGAAGGGGAGAAGCCTCGGCCTTTCCTGAGCGCGGCGTCGGCGTCGGCGGCGAGGCCTGGCTCGGGATGCGAGTGTGAGATGCGTCTTCCACCGGCGGCGGCTCTCGGCTGGGCCCCCTCGGCGCCCTCCATGAGGCTCCGGAGCCGGCGCTTGGCCCTCCACAAACACTTCTATAGGACTCAGGCGCCTTGCTGAAGAGGAGACACAGAAAGTGGACGAGGAAGAGGAGCCCCTTGGCGTGGAGAGGAGCCGAGGAAAAAGGGCCCAAAGGAGCCCCAGAGACAGGCCTCCCTCCTCTTCAGAGGGACAAGGAGGAGGAGGAGGCCATGGAGGGCCCCGGGAATCAGTGGGGCCGCGTGAGGGAGCAGCACGGCCAGGTAAAGAGGACGAGGAGGAGGCAGGGAGGAGAGGCAGGGCCTTCTCAGTGGTGGCCCCTCGGTTGTGGAACTCCAGGAGGAGAAGGAGCGGGTAAAAGGCAGGGAGGAGAAGCAGGGCCTTCTCAGTGGTGGCCCCTTGGTTGTGGAACTCCAGGAGGAAAAGGAGCGGGTAAAAGGCAGGGAGGAGAAGCAGGGCCTTCTCAGTGGTGGCCCCTTGGTTGTGGAACTCCAGGAGGAAAAGGAGCGGGTAAAAGGCAGGGAGGAGAAGCAGGGCCTTCTCAGTGGTGGCCCCTTGGTTGTGGAACTCCAGGAGGAAAAGGAGCGGGTAAAAGGCAGGGAGGAGAAGCAGGGCCTTCTCAGTGGTGGCCCCTTGGTTGTGGAACTCCATTAGGAGAAGGAGCGGGTAAAAGGCAGGGAGGAGAAGCAGGGCCTTCTCAGTGGTGGCCCCCCGGTTGTGATACTCCCTAGCGATGTCGCAGCAGCCCCCTCCCTATTAGCCTGGCCAGGTAAAGAGGACAAGGAGAGGAGGAGAAGGAGGAGCGGGAAAAAGGCAGGGAGGAGAGGCAGGGCCTTCTCTGTGGTGGCCCCTCAGTTGTGGAACTCCCTCCCTAGCGTCGTCACAGCAGCCCCCTCCCTATTATCCTGGCCAGGTAAAGAGGACAAGGAGGAGGAGAAGGAGGAGCGGGAAAAAGGCAGGGAGGAGAGGCAGGGCCTTCTCTGTGGTGGCCCCTCGGTTGTGGAACTCCCTCCCTAGCGACGTCACAGCAGCCCCCCTCCCTATTATCCTGCCCAGGTAAAGAGGAGGAGAAGGAGGAGCGGGAAAAAGGCAGGGAGGAGAGGCAGGGCCTTCTCAGTGGTGGCTCCTTGGTTGTGGAACACCCTCCCTAGCGACGTCACAGCAGCCCCCTCCCTATTATCCTGGCCAGGTAAAGAGGACGAGGAGGAGGAGAAGGAGGAGCGGGAAAAAGGCAGGGAGGAGAGGTAGGGCCTTCTCAGTGGTGGCCCCTCGGTTGTGGAACTCGAGGAGGAGAAGGAGCGGGAAAAAGGCAGGGAGGAGAGGCAGAGCCTTCTCTGTGGTGGCCCCTCGGTTGTGGAACTCCCCTTCCTAGCGTCGTCACAGCACCCCTCTCCCTAATTAAGAGGAGGAGGAGGAGCGGGAAAAAGGCAGGGAGGAGAGGCAGGGCCTTCTTTGTGTTGGCTCCTCGGTTGTGGAACTCCCTCCCTAGCGATGTCACAGCAGCCCCCCTCCCTAAATAAGAGGACGAGGAGGAGGACATGTTTCATTGCACTATCTATATAAATAAAAATGCAATGTTCGTTTATGGGATTAACATAACTCAAAAACCACTGGACCAATTGACACCAAATTTGGACACAAAACACCTCTCAGGCTAACAAGTGACCATCACTCATAAAAACACTGAAAAACACAGTGGAGTAGACTCAAAATGCCAAAAATTAAAGAAAATGCATACCAGCGCATGCACAAAACCACATTTATACAAATATACACACACATATACACAGACTGGGCTACAGCAACGCCTGGCAGTGGATGGCTAGTGTATATATATGTGTGTGTGTGTGTGTGTGCATATGTAGATGTGTATCTATGTGTATATATTTGTGTGTTTATATGTGTATATGTATACTGTATATATGTGTGTGCTTGTCTATATGCATAATTGTGTGTATTTATGCGTGTATGTATGTGCATACATGTGTATATGTATATATGCGTGTATGTATATGTATGTGTGTGTATATTTGTGTGTGCTTGGGTATATATATATATATATACACACACACACACACATACACATGTGTGTATGTGTGCATGCGTATATGAGTGTATGTATATATGGTGTATTTTTGGGGTTTTTAAGTCCATTCTACTGGGTGTGTGTGTGTTTTTAGGGGTGATGAACACTCGTTGGATTGTTAGGTGTATTGTGTCAAAATTTAAATTCGTCCAGTGGTTTCTGAGTTAAGTTAATTCCACAAACTAACATTACATTTTTATTTATATAGCTTAAAATAAGAATAATAATAATAGTAAATTTTATTTATACCCCGCCACCATCTCCCCCAAAGGGGACTTGGGGCAGCTTCCATGAGGCCAAGCCCGATAATACATAACAGCAAAATGAATACAAAACAAAAATATCATCACAATAAAATAAGTAAAACATAAGAGTAAAATAAAACAGTGCAAAATAACAAGATGAAAAATTAAACACAATAGGCGGGCCAAATGTAAGACATAAAATGATAAAACACTGGATGAGATAAGAGTGGAAAAAGGTATATATGTAAGGGAGGAGATAATAATCATAATAGGAGCTAATAATAATAATAATAATAATAATAATAATAATTACCATCTGCCAGCTGCAAAAGGCCACCTTACTGGGATCTGCACGCATTATTCGCCGATACATCACACAGTCCTAGACACTTGGGGAGTGTTCGACTTGTGATCCTATACAACAGCCAGCAGAGTGAGCTTGTTTGTTGTGGACTCATCTTGTTGTGCTTCTAATAATAATAATAATAATAATAATAATAATACATTATTTATACCCTGCTACCATCTCCCCGGAAGGGACTCGGGGCGGCTGACATGAGGCCAAGCCCAAAGATACAATACAGCAAAATAAAATACAAAACAACAAAAATTCAGAATAAAATACATACAGTAGCAAAATAAAATAAATAAAGCCAAATAACATAATGGAAAATCAAACACAATGGGCGGGCCAAATGCACAAGATAAAATGATAAAACCCTGGATGAGGTAGGAGTAGAAAAAGTGTATTTGAGAGAAGACCAAAAAGGACAAATAGTGGGGATAGGTCTTCAATTTGGGATGGGGAAAGTACATCATAAGGACAACACTGCAGATGGAACAGACAAATGGGATAGATGATCACTCTCCAAAGGCACATCGGAAGAGCCAAGTTTTCAGATCTTTCTTAAAGGCTGCTAGGGTGAAAATATATTTTTTCAGTGATACTATATTTTGTTTTGTGAGTGGGTTTGTACAATTAATACATGCATGTCATTCTATAACCAGGCTGCTGTCCTGTCTAAATATAGTGTGGGTGTAAATCTCATTGAACTCAATGAGACTGGCTGTGGAGTAGATATGCTTGTATTTATGTATGAGTATTTTTTTATCTATTTAATTAATTTATTTATTTACAGTATTTACAGTATATTCTGGCGTATATGACTACTTTTTAACCGAAGAAAATCTTCTCAAAAGTCAGGGGTCATCTTATACACAGGTGTAGTCTTATGCATGGGAGTCGTCTTAACTCTATATTTTAACTGGAGAAGTTGGGGGTCGTCTTATACGCCCAGTCGTCTTATATGCCGGAATATATGGTATATACCACCTTTCTCACCCCTGGGGGGACTCAAAGCAGTTTACGCATAAATAATGGCAAAATTCAATGCCTTTCATTGGGCACCAATACGATGCCAATACAAACAATTACAATAGTAAAACCACAATTAAACATAAATCATAATTAAAACAACACATCAAGCATTGAAACAATAAAAAAGTCTTGTCAGTTGAATCACTGTTCCAATGTCCTTCTACATCTACTTTCTGAAGGCCTGGTCCCAGAACCATGATTTTAATTTTTTTCTTAAAGCCAGGAGGGAGGGAGTGGATCTTACCTCATTTGGGAGTGTGTTCCAAAGGCGGGGGGCCACAGCCAAGAAGGCCCTGTCTCTCGTTCCTGCCAGATGCATTTGTGCTGTTGACGGGACCGAGAGCAGGGCCTCCCCGGAAGATCTTAGATGACAAGGTGGGACGTAGGGGTGGATGTGTTCGGACAAGTAAACTGGGCCAGAACCATAAGTCTTAAGATGCAAACATTTGGTAATAGAATTGGGCTCGGAGATGGACCGGCAGCCAGTGGAGCTGGCATAGTAGGGGGGTGGTATGTTCCCTATATCTTCTTCTTCTTCTTCTTCTTCTTATTATTATTATTATTAGACAATTTAGTAAACTTTTTGTTGACACTCACTACTATAACAAATATCATCTGCATAGCTTAAAACAGAAACTCTAGCCAAGAGTTCGAATAGTCTCCCACATAGGCTGCTGTCCCAGGAAACTACAGAAATCAATGGGTGTATACTTGTTTATTTTGCATTAATACCATTTATAATGTTTGCTCTTAAGAAATTCATTGTGAGGCAAAAGTGGCTTGATGCCCAGTTGCGCCCGTACCTTGGGAAGCCAGATCTGGCCACAGTGGCCCACGCTCTTGTTACACCCCGAATAGATTACTGCAACACACTCTACGTGGGGTTGCCCTTGAAGACTGTTTGGAAACTTCAACTGGTCCAGCGAGCGGCAGCCAGATTACTCACCGGAGTGTCATACAGGAGTGTCATACACCACCCCCCTGTTGTGTCAGCTCCACTGGCTGCCAATTCAGTTCCGGGCACAATTCAAGGTGCTGGTTTTGATCTACAAAACCCTATACGGTTCTGGTCCAGCGTATCTGTCCGAACGCACCTCCCTCTATGTCCCACCTCGGAGTTTGAGATCAGCTGGGGAGGCCCTGCTCTCGACCCCACCCCTATCAGAAGTGAGGTCGGTGGGGACGAGGAGCAGGGCCTTCTCAGTGGTGGCCCCTCACCTGTGGAGCTCACTCCCGGGGGAAATTAGGTCATAAACATCCCTCCTCTCCTTCAGGAGGAAATTAAAAACGTGGTTGTGGGATCAGGCCTTCGGGCAATCTGACAACTAGATAAGGACAATCAGATGACTAGGACTGACAGGACTGACAAAGTGGAATTGAAACTTGGACTATGAGATGGCGAACGCTGAGCGTTAATTAGGTGAAATGGGTTTTAGTGGTTTATTGGTTTTATTGTTGTAATGCAGAAACTGATTGTTAATTGTTTAATTGCTGCTATATTGTTTTTATTCTATGGTTTGTTGATGCCGGCATCGAATTGTGCCGGTTGTAAGC